GCTTGTTCTATTATACACGGTATGCGAATGGCTTTCAATCCGCAACACTGACCCACTTCTTGTTAACCATCCGCCACAAAAATATCAAATTTGTTTCTTTTTTACTTTCCATTTTACTAGTTTCTTCTTTGAAAAAGTTTATTATTTGCATCATTTATTCTTAGGCACGCCATGTCCTCATGAGTTCAACACACATTGAGTCTGCTACTGGCTCCATGCGGGCTCATGGAATGTGAGGTTATTTTGCTTATTTTCATAATATTCGTGCTCATTTTCAATATATATCACCTTTTACATACGAAGCTTTTTTATTCTTTTTAAACCCAGGGGATCGCCAAGTGCGAGATGTTTCGGAACAAGGCTCGTCTAACGGGAATATCTTTTTTAGAATCCAGGATATTTCATTTGAAGTGTTGTTTTCATGAGTGACGCGTTAACCACGCTCGCAGGGTGCACATCTTAGGACCACCTCTATTTAGAGCCTTATGTATAGACCAGTCGCCTCGCCGGCTGACGCCGGCGCGGCTCCTTCTGATACGGCCCGGCTCTACCCGGGAGCGGCGGGCGCGGCTTCGCCGCGCGTACCTTCTTTCACATATTTCTAGACTCAACTGATATCCGCCTTTTGTTCTGTACTCCACTTTTTTCCGGTGTCTGAAGTACTCTTGAGCTATTTTACAGATTCTTCGTCTGACTCCGCCCACCTCGGAGCAGACCCCGCCCACAATTTTTGTGCCCCACAATCTTCACCGGCGACCTCTGCTGACCTTAATCCACTTTTTCCGGTGTCTGAAGTGTTCTGGAACCGTTCTACAGAATTTTTGTCTGGCTCCGCCCACCTCGAAGCAGGCTCCGCCCCCAATTTTTGTGCCCCACAATCCTCACTGGCGACCCTCTGCTGACCTTAATCCACGTTTTTTTCCGGTCTTTGAAGTGCTCTGGACCGTTTCTGCAGATCTTTTGTCTGACTCGCACCCCCCTTGAAGACAGCCCCCGCCCCCAATTTTCGTGCCCAACAATTCTCACCGGCGACCCTCTGCTGATCTTAATCCACTTTTTTCCGGTCTTTGAAGTGCTCTGGGACAGTTTTAGAGAGTTTTTATAGAATTTTCGTCTGGCTCCGCCCACCTCGGGCTGGCCCCGCCCACAATATGTATACCCCACATTTCTTAATCGGCGACCCCTTGCTGACCTGAATTCACTTTATTCCGGTCTTCGGAGTGCTCTGGAACCGTTTTACAGACCCTTTTGACATGCTCCGCCCACCTCGGGGCAAGCTCCGCCACGTTTTTGCCTCACAGGCCTCACCGGCGACCCTCTGCTGACCTTGATCCACGTTTTTTTTCCGGTCTTTGAAGTGCTCTGGAACCGTTTTACAGACCTTTTCGTCTGCTGGCTCCGCCCACCTCGGGCTGGCTCCGCCCACAATATGTATACCCCACATTTCTCAATCGGCGACCCTCTGCTGACCTTAATCCACTTTTTTCCCGTGTCTGGAGTGCTCTGAAACTACTTTACTGGTTTTTCGTCTGACTCGCCCCAACCGCAGCAGCGGCCCGCCACCCAATGTGTTTTGCCTCGCATTAGTCCTCACCGGCGACCCTTTTGCGACCGTTGAAGCACATTTTCTTGGCAATGCTCTAGACTCGGCCGTAACAAACTTTGAAATGAGGTCATCCGCGATTTAGGCAAGCTCCGCCACTGTGTGGCGGGCTCAACACACTGTGAGTGTGCCCTAGTATTCGAACGGGATATTTACATTCTAACCCTTCTTTGCGACTTCCAACAAACTCCGCGAACCTGTGTTTACTGAAATTGTTGCGAGAGACCAGCCACCTTGGTGATATGCCCCGCCACCTTTAACGGCTGTACCTGCCACAAATTAGTCCTGGCGACCCTTACTAACCTATAGTCCACCTTTTTACCCACTCTTAGGCAGCACTTGGCACGATGGTTTCCTACTTAGCCTAAAATGCTAGTAGGGCGCTGTATAGTGGGGAAATGGCGAAAGAACGGAGTGAAACGGTCAAAATCCGGCGAAGAAAAAGCCTCCGTTCTCAGTGACTTGTAAATCGATTTCGGACGAGTTTCCCGTACGCATCTTGCCAATCACCGCTACCGAAGGTACGGATGCATATGTGTACCCGTATGCATGGCAGACCACGGCCTCTTCATACCAAACCCCTTTGCATCATGATTTCTAGCAAATGAATGAATACGAGCGTCGTCCGTTTGTGGGCGGGCGGGCAAAGAAGGCGTTTGGGACGTAAAGTTGTTGCCCAGTAGAGCGTTGAGATGTAGACGTAGAGGTACCCTCGCTTGAAAAGGCTTCACGCAGCGCCTGTCGAGGTCACGGAATTCTGTTAAGCCAGTTGTACAAATCCTACACCTGTATAACGATTTATCGTGCCAACTGCCTTTAAGCTGCTCCGGAAGCGAATTATGGACATTTTTCTGCGAAACCCCAGACTTTCGGCGAGTGCCCCGCCCACTGTGGGCGGTTCCATAGGTCAAGTGTGCTTTTTATATTCTTGTCCCATGCCCTACCTATCCCCACCTTGACTGGACCTCTCCAAGTCGTTCTTCAGGTCGAACCGAATTTCCGGACAGACAAACTTACAAACTCACAAACAAACAGACAAAGCGAATTATATAGGTTGGAAAGAAAGTCCTGTCACTGTTGTGATTTTTTTTCTTTTTTATTTTCTAACTCAACATGAAATAAAAACTAATCAATAATATAATCGCCATTGTTAGCCACTACAGTGCTCCACCTAATGGGCAACTCAGCTATCCCCTTCTCCCAGAACTGAGGAGGCTGCGAGTCGAAGAAGTAGGCAACTTCTCGATTGATGCATCAAGTTGCGCTGAGTTTTGCTTAGCTCTAGGAAGCCTTTGAGGGAGCGGAGCAGTGAGTAGTCGGGAGGGGCCCGCGTCTGAGAGAATATACGGTGGATGGGAACGGTCTCCCAGCCTAGCTCCTCAATTTGGCGGTGGGTCTCTTTAGCCACATGTGGTCTGGCGTTATCATGGAGAAGGTGCACCGAAGCTCGTCTCGGCCGCTTTTCTCGAAGAGCTTGCGCGAGGGCACAGTTTCGGAGTTTGGGCGGCGTAAACGGTGATTCAGGGTAAAGTTATGCCCTTGCGAAGCATGCTCGTGGTGCCAGCATTGCCTTTCGAACTCCAGAAGCAGCCAGAGGTTGGACTCGCTTGGAGTGCGCATCTGGTTGCGTAGCGGGTCTTCTCGTCGAGGGAGCCCACATGGGCGCGAGGTAACGTTGGAATCAATATAGAGGAAGCCAGCTCAGTCCTGCGATTTCACAATATTCCAGAAACTCCTTCCGGTTACGGTGTAGAAGGAGGGATCGACAGATGCTCACCCTGGCATACCGCGTGCCATCTGTTAGAGCATGAGGTATCCATCGCGTGAGGACTTTTCTGTAGCCAAGGGCCTGAAGGCGGCTTAGAGCTGTTGTATGGCTACACCCTAAGCCTCTGTCGCAATATCTGCCGCGTGGTACCTCCGACGCATCCCCTCTGACAGATTCGATGAACGGCGGAATCTTCTACGCCGCGAGGGCATTCCAGACGAGGTTTGCCTTCGAAGATCGTCTCTCCTTCGCGAAGCGAGCGAATCAACGGTGGACAGTACTGACGTTGGTGGTGTCCTCCCCCAATGCACAGTTGATGTTACGGGCCGCTGCCGTCGCTCCCATTGACCGCCCGGCGCCGCCACTCATAGAAGATGATCACTCGAAGCTGCTCCAGTGAAACTGACATCATAAATAAACACAGGGAAGAGCAGGAGCCTTGATATACCTCTTGTGGAAAAGCTTCGAGAATGTTCTACAACCTTAGCATGTTACGTCATGTTCGAGCTTCGAAGATCAAAAACTGTAGGCTATCTAAAAACACTGTACAGGACTTTTCTTTCCAACCTATATATGGGGTGTAATGTGTAAACTGTGTTGCGGCAAAACGGAGCAGAGTTATCTTAACCAGGCTTGCTATTCCTTCCAGCTCGGTAGAGATCTTCCAGGACAAAATTCAATTGCTGGTTGTGTGAGCCGAATTACCGTCAAAGTGCCACTGCGAACCTCAATCACAGTAGAATATGTGGCGCATCCTAAAAGGAATTCAACGCTGGTTCTGTCACAAGCTCTAGAGGGGGGCAAAAAAGATGCTTTTCTTCCTCGACTTCCAAGGCTATATAAGTGCACTTTGTTATATCTGAATCGACATTCCCACCACCATATTCAACAGCACACTGCACACTGTCATGTCATACTCGCACAGCTTCTGATCTGCCACACGATCGTGATTCGTTGCCTGAATTCAGCGAGGTCGTTGATTCTCCGCCACTGTAGACCACACTGTTGAGCCACCAGAAGCCGATGAGGAGGTTTAGGGAGCGGCACACTTTGATATGTCGTCTTCTTCAGGTATTCAACATCCTTCGATTCCAAGGAAGGCGAGAGTTTTTCCAACGTCCGATTCCATGTGCTGGCACCCAATCCTGTAGCAGTACGAAGTTTCCAAGATGGTACAGGCGACGACATGAAGGCAGGATATTCTCCACGAGTTGGTCGATGTAACCGTCAGCGGATACCATCAACCCGAGCCTTGGCGACTGCGATGAAGATGATATCCTAGACCGTGGCGACGTTGTCGGAGCTGTTGGAGGTCTTCCAGATCAAGAGTGCTGGTCTCCAGGTAGCTGTCCATGGGTGACTCCATACAAGAAGTTTCGCAGCTGTTTGGAGGTGACGTGAATTCCATAGGCCTTCCCAGTCAGGCTGCGATTGGAGATGACTTCATATTTTGGTGTACATGAAGGTGATGGACGAGAGCCTGCTCCTGCTTATCGAGGAACATCTTGGGTATCTTCCGCCCTGGTACTCGTATCCACGTCTTCTATCTGGGCTGCGTAAACTTTACTGATATGTGACTCGGCCAAAGTGTCTTTTTTTGCCCCTCGCCCCTCTATGTGCCACTGGTGGATGATGAAGCACATTCTTATAGCACCTCAGCCTTATGAAAGGGTTTTCCGTAAAGATTTAGGAGAGGGTAGCAGAAACTCCAGAAATTACAATAGTAGCGAAATTCATGGATATTTGTTGACTTCAACGTGGTTATTTCTTAGCAAATCAGTGCTTCATTTTTACACTCAATGTTTGCCACTTTAATCTTGCCTGCAAGGAAAAGTTTCCTTTTTTCAGGAATTTCGTACTCACACCACGTCATTTCATGCCGATTCATGATGCTGAATTCATACCAGGACTATTCCGACATCGTCTCGCTGGGGCAGTACAATGGATCCAAAACTTCGCCATCAGCGGTATTATTGTTGGAGAACGTATGAAAAAGGCTTTAGCCTCAGTCGTGCCGTCGTTTAGGTAGGCCTCGGACTTAGTTGTGATCTGATCCATTGGCACTCGAGAGGTGAAGGTGTGGCGCCGTGGCACTCAGAACCATATCCTTGCACTGTCCACGACACGGGAAGTCATACGTAGACATGCATCTTGGCATGTGCTCGACTGCAATCGCAGCTTGCAATCTGCGAAAGCGCTAGGATAGCCGGGATAAGGGGGATTGGGAAGGAGCTCCGGACCGGGTGCACTATCTGGCACCTTCTAAATGTTCACAAATGATTAGGTATCATCCATCCAGGTACTCCTATTCCTCGAATATTGTAGGTTACCTCAGTCGTGACTCAGAACTGGCACCGTCTCACTCCCCCCGAAGCACATAATGATCAGTTCAAAGCGTGACTGGAATCTCGCGCTCAACATGAAATCAAGGAGAATGTGAAACTAGAGCCACTACAACATAACTGGTCTGGGTGTGGCAGTCCAAGTAGCGGTTCAAGGTTCAAACACTTCAATCTCCAAGCCATTCCATACCACCGATGCTGACGTAGTTTGGTGGGAGCGGATTTCCTCACGATGCTCATGCATGGTTGGTCAATGGAGCTCACACGACGAGTCGCAGGGGGCATAGTATTGAGAGCACACGAGCCGCGTAGCCGCCTGGCCCGCTGAACTACTACGTTGGCACCGCGCAATCAACGAAATAAACGAAAATCCTCGGCTGAGGGTCTTTTATTGAGCAGAATAACTTAGAAAAATAAACGACTCGACAATGATCATTAAAACACTTAATTACCATGGACGCTGTTAGGTTCAGTTGTTATGAAGCACCTGATTTTCTTGACTTGGAAGTTTTCTCATTCATATTTCAGCTTTTTGAGTACCAAAGAACCGCGTCAGCGACCCTCACAGATATGCCGTTTGATCTCATTGGTCCGTCCCCCAAGACGAATGATGTGAGTGCCCAATAGCGTTCTTCCTACAAAGGACCTAACAAGAGAGCTCGTGGTTTTTGCTTTTTTCTCTTTTGTTTATGCTGTATGGTATTCGTACACCATTTATACAGAAATAAAAGGAAAATCGGGTGAAGAGAAGAGAAAGGAATGAAGGAAGGAAGAAATGGCTAGAATTTCATGTATATTTTCTACAGCAAATTGCAGCTCTTCGACTACGGTGCATATTGTCCAGCAGCGAAACCACTGACTGGCGAACTTCTCGAGTTTGTCTCTGATCCAAAATCAAAAGGCACCATTCTTGTTGCGTTTGGTGAGCTTCCTCTTTTGCACAGTTACAATGTAGGAGCTATTAGGTTGGAGAACAAGTCCTCCGGCACTACAACCGGACCAAATTTTCTTTCAATAATCATAAGCGACATCTCCAAGGTACAAATAATCACTCAAGATCCAGAAGAAAAATCTACGTTTAGCTGAGCTCTCTAGTTCCACTCTTGTAGAACTACAGCAATAGTTACGACAAAAAGAGGAACTGACCTCATTTAAGAGTAGATGTTGGTCTTCAGAATTTTTGCTTTCTAAAGGATGCAGTAGGGACGAAGGAGGCTCTCACAAAAATGACCAAGTACGCCCCCCCTTTCACAACATCCGTGAAGCGAAAAATCGACAATCACAATAAATTTTTCTCAGCCCAAATACGACCCCCACCCTCACTATTGGGGATTCCCCAACAACAATGTGCCCTGCTTCCGGATGAGCAGACAACTTTTCTCCTTGAGAGATCCTGCGAAGGTTACGTGCATGGTGTACATAAGGAACCCATCTCTCGTAAACAGCCATAAAGTCTCACGGGAAGTCCTTCCGTGTGTACAAAGAAGAGTATACTCAGCCACGACCATTCGGTGCTCAGGCTGGTATAGCACATGTGGCATCCTACACAGGAAAATTTCCCGATGACCGGGATGGCAGAAACATGGTAGTTTCGTTCAGACGCAGCATAGAGATATTGCTGAATTCCTGGTGTTTTCAGCTGCGTCTCCACGGTGTTGACTGAATGACCCCCATTCTCTGTTGGTGGCCGATCTATACGTTGTCCAACTTCATATGAAATTACTCCAGGTTGTAAGTGCTAAGGCATATAGGAGAGGTCGGGAGGTGCCTTGATCTCTTGGGGACTTTTAAGCTATGAAAACATCCAGAAAGCCATAATAGCATTCACAAAGCCATAATATGCCCTTTTTTTGATTCTCAGAGAACGCTTTCCTGCTGATCAGGGGCAAGAACATTCAAAATGTTTTTTTTTGATTTTTTTTCGAGAGCAATTCTATCACAGTGTTGCAGGACTTTTTTCCAACCTAATTAATGATGAAGTCTTTGGTTTTACTAAAACCGCTTTCGAGCGCTCCTGGCATTCTTCTGTCTGGGTGTTTCCCTCAATTTTTTATCGTTCCACAGTAGTGTGTTCTCAAAGAGTCCTACATAAATTAGAAATGAGCCCTATTCAAGTACTTAAAGGCAGCGCCCGCGTTCAAATTTAATGAGTATGCGGCTCAGGTAGTAACAGCGAGGTAGCAAGAAGCCTATTAGTGAAGAAAAATCAAAGAGAAAACACGCAAAATGCCCTAGAAGGAGTTTCATACCGAACAACGGTTGTACGTGCTTAAGGCGAAGAGGAGTGATTGCACGAGTTTCCACTTGTTCATATCAGCTGTTTTCCCTTATCACCTCACTCTCACCACTCCACGTGGAGAGAAGCAGCAATGGAACAACCGCACCATCAGGCAACCATTAGAAATGAAGTTGGGTGGCGTGGTCGGCAGGTGGGCGGAGCCGTCGGCTCTTTGCGGGCGGACGCCGCTGTTCCGTCGCATTTTTGGGTTGCGAAACATGCACGTCCACCATCCTCATAGGGGGAGCTACTAGATCCAGAGAGGGCGTGAGAACAACAAATGAACGCGGGCGCTGCCTTTAACATACTTGATTCGTGAACAGTACAGTTAAGAAACCATTAAAAGCGCGTGACTTAGACTTGTTCCAAGTTTTTTTTTCGAATACCAGTTAATCATATTGGCAATGTTAATGTATTCAGGTACAGTAATCAATTGGGAAAATGTTCCGAAGGAGAAATTTGAGGCAGTGCTCGAGGCACTGAATTCGCTATCCGATTATCGTATCGTCTGGGCTTACAATGGCAGACCGATGACGATGAAACCACATATATATGCATCAAAATGGGTACCTCAGGTTGATGTGCTCTTCGACAACCGCACAGTGCTCCTCTTCAGCCATGGTGGCCTCAAAAGGTCTACGTAAAGTGCGAACTATTAAACAATCTGAGGAAAACCCCAAATCCACGCAGTCGAATAGGCGACACATCTAAGGCAGAGGCACTATCTAAGACGGCGCCTGTAAAAAAAAACAAATTTTGCTTCGAATCACGCTAGGGATCGAAGATTCTGCCTAGAGCTCAGTACTGCTGTCAGATCAATCCTATCATAAAACTCGATGGAAAATAGCAGTCCATGGTCAAAAGAAATGGGTAAAAATTAAGACTGATTCAATTTCAGTCTTGAAGGAACACCATGCGCATCGGGTCCATACGTCCTCATGCCGATTGTTTGCCTGACAAGTTAGGTAATAGATGGATTGAGAAAGAGATAAGGTGAGTAAGCGGCTATAGGATGAGTGAATAGTCATATCAGTGGCAAAAGGCGATCTCGGAAGCCATGCTATTCTGAGGAGTAATCCGGTCCTCCTCTGATAACGCCCATCGGCACGCTCAAGCTGCATCACTTCGACGTTCGGCGCTCTAGATCTCTTGAGTTGGAGGCAGCTGGTTCCCTTTTGCATTCAATCTTGCAGGAACATAAATAAAAAGCTGCAAGGGAACGTTCCACTCTCGGCATTATTCAAATCTAACCATATTTTAGGGATATGCTGAATCTAACCATTTTTAGGGATATGCTGAACTCTTCAACAAGCATGAACTGAATACAGGGAATTTACTAGCAACAATGAAGCGTGTTCTCGACAATAAAAGGTATACAAGTTTTGCTCAGCACTGCACTGCTCTAATGGTTCTGTGACAGACCTTTGCGCTCATTCCAGTAAGAATATATTGTCATTAGTGCAGGTCCTGGCGTTGGGGAGAACTTTTGCTGAATGGAATCCTAATTTTCTCCTCTGGTATAACCCTCATCCACAAGCAATCAGTCGTCTTTTTTAATCTAAAAAACTTTTCGTTGGGCGTGTAAAGGGCCGTCTTCACTTATGAGAAGTACTACACTTGCGGCGCTGAACCCTGGTTAAGATATATAGTGATGATACGAGAAGAATCAACAACAGAAAAATTGTCAAAACAAATGCGGCGTGCTCCTCCCTACAGGCCTGATTCGACCCTACTTGAGGATCCCCAACGTGGGACGCATAGTAACTCTCGCTGTTCCGAAAGTTTCAGGCTTTCCATTGCTTCGGTCATTTTATTCCTTTTGTCTGATATTGAGGTCAGGAGTGAGGCGGTACCGAGTTTCACACAGACATTCAGCACAATTTCCGTGTACAGGACTAGGTTTTTCGAGGAGGGGGGTTTCATACTCGGGAAGTTGACTTCCGCTTATTGCACCTTAGATAGGGAACTGATTGTCAGCAATGGGGGACCTTTTATTATTTGTTTGTCCGAGAAACATTCTATTGTAGACACATATGGAATTTCATCAACTTTTCTCGGGCAAGACAAAGAAATGTCAGTTGAGATCACCCGAAGCTTTACTTCGGGCCTGTGCCTTCGCTACTTACCATAGAATTATTTACGTAATTTACTCATTCCTTCCACATGATATTTTATTGTTTATTGGAGCTTTTTCAGCTTTGCTTCAAATGCAGCCCGTATAACGACGCTCTTTAATGATAAAGTGTTACATCCACTTGACCAAGGCGCTCACTACATAAATCGGCTACTGAAGTACGGCGGACGGATGCCTGAGTTCTTCTATCCGCGTGCAATAAGCCGTGACTATCTCTCGTATCTTAACATTGACATATTTTTGGTTCCTTTATTAGTTATAATTTTGATCTCATGTTGATTCTCAATGTTAACGTACTGTATTCCTGACCCTGGCAGGCTATGAAGCGAAGTGGGGTCAGGAGATTCAAGTTGCAGCGGCGCGGTATCGCTTCTGCCGCATTCGCACCAGGGTCTAGTTGATCGTATAAAGAAGGCTCACCTCAAGCCAAGTTCCTTAGGAATGTGTGATGCGCTACTTTCTCTTGCTACAACTCGGTTGTACAGACCTTATGCTCTCATAAATTATGGCATGGTTCAGTATCGGTACTCTCACAGAGCGGTTGACCCTGTAGATATTTAACGTTTGATAATCGCTAATAAACGTTTACAAAGAAAAAACTTGCTGTTCAAGAGACGTCAGGGCCATCTGCTTTACAGAAGAGTTTTCGCAGCCCAGACAGAAGACATGGATACGGCGGAAAATACTTAAGATGTTTCTCGATGATCAGAAGCTGCCTCTCCTCCATCCCCTTCATGTACACCAAAATATGAAGCCAGATGGCAGCCGAAGTGAAGAAGGCCTATGGAACTCACGTCACCTCCAAACAGCTGCGAAACTTCTTGAGGAGTCACCCATGGACAGCTACCTGGAGACCGGCACTCTTGATCTGGAAGACCTCCAACATCGAGCAGCTCCGACAACGTCGCTACGGTCCAGGATCATCTTCACCGCAGTCGCCAAGGCGCGGGTTGATGGTATGGACCGGACGTACCTGGGATGAAAAGACCAATATTTTTTTTCGTAGACCCCGGACTGAAGGTGAACGCTGACTTTTACATCGAGAAGAACATCCTGCCTTCATGTCGTCGCCAGTACCGTCTTGGAAACCTCATACTGCTACAAGATTGGGTGCCAGCCCAGTACATGGGATCGGAAAACGCTCGCCTACTTGGAATCGAACGGCGTTGAGTACCCGAAGAAGAAGGAATATTCAAATGTGTCACCTGACCTTAACCCCTTGTCTACGGGTTGGGGCGAAGCTCAACAGGGTGGTCTACAGTGGCGGAGAAATCAACGACCTCGCTGAACTCAGGCACCGAATCACGGTCGCGTGGCAGAATCTCTCGATGGCATTCGTCCAAAGGTGGCGGAGTATCGCGATAGTGATATTCAGCAACACAGTGCACACTGTGTTGTTAAATATGGTGGTGGAAATGTCCAATCACAGTTTGTTAAAGTGCAGTATCGCCTTGAAAATCGAGGAAAAAACTGTCTTTTTCTGGCCACCCCCTGCATATGCTATTCTAGAAAACATTGAGTTCCCTTCTATCTTCAATCCACATCTCTCATTTAGATTGAAGGCAGTTGGCACGATAAATCTCTAAGAAGAGTAGGACTGATACCGCCTGGCAGGACAGGATTCCGCGACCCTAAGCAGGTGCTGCGTAGCCTTTTCTGAGGGAGGCACCTTAGAAGGGCCCTATCGAGCTACAACATACCGACCCGAACGCCCACCACGCCCGCCCGCCCACAAATGGACGACCGTACCTGACGCTCGTATTGCTTCATTTGCAAAGTAAAATATGAAGCGAAGGGATTGGTATGAAGCGGCTGCGGTGCTGCATGGATATATGAGAACATACATGCAGCCGTACCCACCGTAGCGGTTATTGGCAAGATGTCTACGGAAAACTCGTCCGAAATTGTCATTAAGAACGAAGGTTTTTCTTCGCAGGTTTTTGACCGTTTCACTTCGTTTTTCGCCATTTTCCCACTATATGGCGCCCTGCTAGCATTTTAGGCTAATTAACAAAATATCGTGCCAACTGCCTTTGAAGGAAATCCTCGAGGTGTTCACAAAGTGCAGCGTAGAAAAATGATGACCCGGCGAGCATGGATCTATCAGATTACAGGTTCATGACGCCTGCAAAGGTGTGTAGCGCTATTGAGCCAGATCATGCCATCGCGTTGTAATCAATTTCTGTTAAGTACGACTCCCCCCCCCCCCCCCCCCCCCCTCCCCTCCCTTGTTCTCTGCTACTCTGGCCACAAAGCTACGTTAATGGAGATATGCAATAAACGACTAATAATAAACGTCAATCAAGGATAAATATGAGAAACACGATCAAAATGAGCCATAAATAAATCATAAATAAATTGAGGAAAATTAAGGATAAAAGGATAAAAAGTCTTCGCCGTTGATCAATCCCTTTGTGGGATGCGGCACGCATTCTACTTCCATTCAGAATCGTAGTGGCTTATTGAATGCGATGTGGCCTATACAATGACTTGCGGTGGCCAGCCGATGTACAAGTCAGTGTTTTATCCTCCCAGACGAATCTGGTACCAATTCACCGTCCCCGGAGGGTAGAAAAAGGGGGCTTGGTTGGCCTGGGCGGGAGTCGACCAGGGATTCGAACCCGGGACCGCGCGAATGGTGAGCACCCCACTTGTCACTACACCATCTCCGCCTCACTGAAGGCTTTATGAGGAAATCAATAAGCCTAAATGGGCATTAAAAGACACAAGGAAAGAAAGAAAATGCAGGAAAATTCAAGTGGATGCACTTGAGTACTTATTGTTCGCGGTCATTTAAAGGTAACCGCTCGCGTGTGAATTGGAGCGAGCTATTTCGCCGGTCGATGTAGTTCTCAAGCAAGCCAACCCCGAAAGTACCCTATATTCTACAACACCATAACGTCCTGCGAGAGAGTGGAGCTCTAGAAAGTGGAAAAACACGATAGAGAGGCACTAGATGGCACTCAACTACCCTGAAGTCTAACAACGGTTTCAAAAATTTCTGTGGGGGAGGAAGGAATTTTTGTTTTTTTCAAATATTTTCATTGTGATCCTTAGGGAAACTTACAGGTCCTTACGCTTTGAACAGCCATAACAAGCTTCATACAGGCCACTTGTAAAAAATAAACAGTGTCGGAATTCTGAAGGTCTCTACTATCTTGCTTTACTTTCATTTTCTCTTTAGGACCTCTATTCGAAAAAAAACCCGTCGTGATCATTGCGCAACCCCTTTCAAACAATACGGGGAAACTCACCCCTTTGACGCCAATACCGCTTCCAGTTCTTTTAAGAGGCTCGGTATGCTTTCTAAACCCATGCTTTCGCCAAGAGTATCAAGCGATAGTTCATTTGGCACAATCTGGCATCATCTCTGTATGCGCCATGCATAGGGCTCTCACGCAAATGTACTGGGAAGGTGCAACTTCTAGATAGGGCTTACTCCGTGTGAGTACATGTGCTTCTGATACAATTGGGAAGGTCCACAAGTTGATTTTCCATACTGTTTATCAATATCATAACGGCGTTTGTCAGCGGCTACATCACTTGTCTCTTCATCGCCAGTTCTACCACTTCTCGCTGACAGGTTGCCTTCTGATACTTGCAGTGTCTCTTCGGGGCTCTTCACACTATATGTGTTCATCACTAAAGCGTGTGGACCTCTGCGGTATCGGACTGCACCCTCGGTTCTGGGTTACGACCTTTCCCCCACTAGCCTCGAGAGTCAGAATACAGACACCCCTCCCCGCTGTTTGTGATGAGTCACAACGACAAGTGCCTGTGATTACCGTAATCTTGGGACCACGGCCCAGCCCGAAAACATGAAGAAGTGAAAATGCGCGTTTCTCAAACAAGGTACCGACATCGCTGCTGTGAACACATAGGGCGGGGGTCCGTAATTATCCGCTGGAGCGGGCGTATTCTGTGGTTGTATATACCCTCCCGCTCGACAGCAAAATGTCTAGGGGAAAGAAGTAAAATTTTCGGTAAAGCCGGAAAAAGTGGTAGGAAACTGGGGACGGGACGAGTCTAACTGGTTCTATACTTGCGGCAGCAGCGTAGGTAGCGCTTCCAGCGTACGCCAGCGGCAGTGCCGGGGAGAGGATGCATATCGATCTAGCGTTCCCAGCGTCACCAGCGTAACGCTAGCGTACGCCAGCGTTTCGCCAGCGTTTCACCAGCGTTTTGCTGGCGTTTGCAGCGGCAGGGGAGTAGAGACTATGTGGCCGTAAGAGACGCGCAATCGATGTGTATAGTAGAGACTGAGGGCGAGTGAGAGACGTGCAGATCGATGTGTTTTGTACCCTCCAGCTCTCCCATAGTCTCTACTCCCCTGCCGCTGCAAACGCTAGCAAAACGCTGGAGAAACGCTGGCGTAGCGTACGCTAGCGTTACGCTGGTGACGCTGGGAACGCTAGATCGATATGCATCCTCTCCCCGGCACTGCCGCTGGCGTACGCTGGAAGCGCTACGCTACGCTGCCGCAAAGTATAAACGCAGCCTAAAGGAGAGTATGTGGTCAATGTGAAACGAGAAATCTCCTTAGATTTTCCGCGGTTTTTTGTACACCGTATATTACTGTGAAATCTTGAAAAATCTTGGAATTTTGAGATAAGTCATGTTACGTGTAGCGAACGTCCGTGATTTCGGCCAGCTATTAAACTCATTTGCTCCCTGTTCTTTTAGTTGTTCTTTTTTTTGACCGGATGAGCTCCTTCAGCGGTTCATTTTCCACGGTGTCAGTGAGGATTGCCTAAACGATAGGCTGCAGAAACGAAATACTAGGCCAGCTGGTCACGCTCTCTCACCACATGGCACATCAGCCACGCTCTTCGAGCAAGGCTTTCATTGGAGCCATCCAATCTTGTACAGGCTTCGAAGAAATACGAGAAGGTTATCTATCATGCCAAGATTGCAAGAAAGTCGCACGCGGGCTTTCATTGGATAATGATTCACATACTGTCTGTCCTGTTCATATTGCGGTAGTTGTGATCAGGGTAGATTACCACGTTAAGAAACTTTTTGCGAAGAACCTCATCCGAGGCTGCTCTTCTCGTGCCACCCCTTCCTATGATGTCCAGTCTTTCCAACTTTCCCTGGAATTTGAATGCACGGTCCGCGATAAAAGCCTAGGTGATGTTGCAGAAATGTGGAAGAAAATTCGCCAAGTGAACCGTCTATGAAGAGAAAATGCCAAAGGGAACGTTGGAAACGCATTCGTCAGGCCTCCTCTAGCCTCAAACAACTGTAGAGGTAAAAGACCGAAAAGGACGGGCCCCGGC